TCATGGCTGGCAGTGCCTCTCCATGCACGGGAAATGTTCTGACTTGGCAACCTTGCTGGAAGAATGTGGAGACACAAGAAAGAAGGGAGCTTCTGCAACCTCATCCCTGATTGTGCTTTCAAATGGGAAAGGCTAAATTTAAAGTTTCAAATAAAATTGCTTGGGAAGAAAGTGCAAACACCCACCCTCCCTCAGATTGGATTAAAATCTAGCTTCTGCTGGTAAAAGGACCAGGAGTCAGTGTTGACTGTGAAGCACTTGTGATAATGAGAGACAAGCCTCTGGGTCAGAGGTCCACAGCCAGGCAGCAGATGAGCAGACGAAGGCAGAGGGGCTCTTCCTATTCTCAAGTGGAGTAATACACATCACCATCTAAAGGCAGAAGGGGAAGTGTATGACCACTGAGTCCAAATTGTCTAACTGCAAAGAGCCTAGGGTAAAGCCAGCCTTGTCTATGTCCCCTGCACCCCACCAGCAGCTCCTCCTAGAAGTCTGCAAAAACCACACATCACCATCAGCACAATGCCACACAGAGCAAGGCTTTATTGAGCATGTGTGGACCATCTCCCCTTCTACAAAGAATCACATTAAAGGGACCACAAATCCTTCTGGTAAGTCACCCCCTCCACCACTTCCCACTTCAGCCTCTTCTTCACTAAACATGGATGCCGTCCCTCAAAGTTCATAAACTCTGAAATGCTCATTCGATCATCCAGTTAAGTGAATGAAAAGCCTCCCAGGATTTATCCCACTGGAGTGAACATTTGGGGTACCAGCAAAATGCTTAAGTAGTTCACACAGAAGTGATGACACCATTGCCAGAACCTCACCAGCAGCACACTACAAGGGATACTTCCTCAAAGTCTGATTTTGATGGGACTAATTGCACATTAAATGGCTACAATTGCAACTATGCATCCTGATCCCACATGCTTATTCAAAGCAGGTCCCATATGGACAATGAGCCCAAGCTCAGTACTACCACCCCCAAACTGCGTATACCAGGTATGGATAACTTGTGGCCCTTCAGATATTGTTCAATCACAGCTCCCAGCATGCCTGTTGGCTTGCTGAGACTGATGAGAGTTGGAATCCAATATCTGCAAGGCCAAACATTTCCCATTCTGGGGGTATAGGATGGCAGCCTTCATTTTTCACTGGAAAGAAATTCATAATAGGAATGAGGAATGTGCAGCCTTCCAGGTATTTGGGTTTGAGTTTTTTATTACTCAGATTTATATAGTGCTCACAATATAGGTATCAAAGCATTGAACATAAAATGCAATAGCATCAGAAAAACCATCAGATAAAAGAATTTAAAAATCAGCAATAAAACCACACTCTCTACCATGAGATGGAAAATCTAGCTACAGGGAAAGCCTGGGTAAAGAGAAAGGTCTGGGGAAGACCTAAGAACTGTGGGAACCTGTCTGATGTCAACTGAGAAAGCATTCTGCAGAGCGGGTGCTGCGACACAAAATGCTCCACTGAAAGTGTGCCATGCCTTCTGGAGTGTTCCCATTAGCTGTAGACAGCATAGCCAGTAGGCAGCCATTATGGGACCTGGAGCCCAGCATCATCCCAAGGGCTACAAGTTGCCCATCCCTGTTGGTAAGAATACTCCCTTGGGAACATAGGAAGCTGCCTTATACCCTCCAGCCCAGTGTTGTTTATTCTAACTGGCAGCAGCTCTCCATGGTCCTTGTTAATCCTGACGTTTTGCAGCTGGAGATCTGGGGAACAGGACCCTCTTTGGCCCTTAAGCCCCCAAAATGTGCTTTTATCACCACCCTGAGGCTCCTCTTCTTTTGGGTGGGAGGAGGCAGACTGGACTCCTTGGCAAAGAGGAAAGCAAGACAAAAAGGCAGCAGAAGTAGGCATCTAGTTGGCAGTGGTTAATTTCTGTCTCCATTGGAAAGGTTGCCAGCATTCAAGACTGCCCAGGAACCATGCCTGCAAACCCAGAAGCAAGCTCTAACATCTAATCCCCTGGCCCAAAAGGCATTAAAGATGGAAACACATTTTGTATATGATTGGAGTTATCTCCACATATTCCAGGCTCAGGGTTTTAAAAAAATATTATAATGAAATTCACTTTATTAGAATATTTATCCCCCTGCGACCAGGCCAGCAGGATTCCCTCACTTATTGCAATCTACTATTCATATATAGTGATACCCTTGAGGTATTCAAGGGTATTTCTTGAGGCACCCACCAGAGTCCCTGTCCCTTTTTTAATTTCTTAAGATTATGAATTAAAAATTAAATGGAAAACCTGACCAGGTGCAAAGCATTGCCCTCCAGTGCTATCTTTAATTGGGTTTTGTGTCTTACAGTTCAGACCCCACCACTGCCTTGTTCCTGGACAAGTGCCTTTTTAAGATTCTCCAAATTTGGCTACCGATGGGAGCCATTTCACAACAGACTAGGTCCTCCCCCCCCCCCCCCACATGACATCCTCGCAAAACTCCAAATGTGCCTGCTGACTTAGGAAGCCTGGGACCTCTGCACGATCAGTGAAGTGTGAGTGCTGGTACAAATCTACTCACATGCACAACAGTTCTAGGGGAAGCTGTGTGTGAGAAAAGGGCAGGCATATTCTGAGAGGTAACAGCCCACATTTCCATACAATCCAGCTCTCACATAAGGCTATACATATTTTACACCCCAAACTTTGTGTTACCAGAATAAATTATGCCAATTGCACATGTGTAATATTCCAAAATCCATACTAGTATAATGCTGTATTAGGTCAACCAAAATATCAGCAAATAGATGCAAACTTTTGAGAACTCCAGATCAGACTAGACGTTACAAAAAGTGCAGGGAAGGGGGAGCAGAGGGAAAAAATTAAACCAGGGCTGACTGCAGTCATGGTGGCATTGTGATAATTTCAGGTGGAATGACACAGAAATGGCCTGCAGACTTTCAGATATGATTCTAGTGGTGACTTGATGGCTTCAAGTTTCACCTGCAGTTTCTGGAGCTGCACCTACAGCTCCTGGAACAAAGAAAAAAACTGTGACCCTCCCTTCCCCAGCAGCTTTTTGTAACATTTTGCCTGAAAAAGAAATTTCATGTTCTTGCAAACTTGGCTGTGTCAGATTATTTTTTGGTTTTGACCTAATAAAGGTAATACGGATTTTGGATTTTTGCTTATGGCAACACAGCTACTTTTGCTTTTTTATGTGGATTACAGAATACTAAAATTATTATTGGCAAAGACCAGCTAAGAGTAAGCAGGTCATTAATATCCCTTGGTGACTTGTAACAGGAAGCCGGCAGCAGCCGCCTTGAACATAGCCAAGCACTGACCAAATCAAACCAGCCACAAGTAGTCAGAAACAACATCCTGCTGACTTCCCCTAATGGCCCCAAGGCAGTAATGGCCACAGCAGGCTCATGAGCCTTCCTAGATGGCCGTGTTTGCAGGACACGGGGCCTTTACTGCTGCGACATGCTATCAAGTTTTCATCAACTTATGGCAACCCTACAAATGTCCTGTCCCGGACAGCCCTGCTAAGCTCTTGTAAGCAGGCCTCAACTATACTGGCCTGAAATATAATAAATGTGCTTTTGACACCAAACCTGTGAGTACAGCTATATCAACAATATATACAAAAGTTTACTTGCATTAACAGCATGTGCTCAAATGGCTTTTTCATTGCTTGTGTGAGCATAATATATATATTAGTTTACATACATTTGATATCCACAGATTCATATGAAACACAGAGCTATACAAAAAGATTGCATGATTACGAGAGAGAGTGTTCCTATGTGTTTAGGTAACCTACCTTCCCACCTCAGGATGCTTCTAGAGGCCGGGCATCAAGCATGTGCATGAGAGGGGGATATGTGTGGTGGTCTCATTTAAAAGAATGCAAGTGGGGAAGGCCAGCTTTACCACCCGACAGGTGTGATTCCCCTCCCTCATCTCACAGCCCAGCTCCCACACTGGCCAGCTTGCTGCCCTAGCCACATTCTTCTGTGGCAGCTCCATGCCCACAAGGGAAACGCAGCCTGGGAGCTGATGGTATCACCAGCAAGATGAGACTACCAGGAAGACAAGATTGATGGTCTTTGAATATCTGAAGGACTGTTCACTATTGCTCCAGAGGACAACACTAAAACTAATAAATGGAAATTGCAAGGAAGCAGATCTTGGCAAAATAAAGAGTCTGGCTTCCTGACAGGAAGGACTGTTTGATGGCAGAACAGACTCCCGGGAGAGGCAACTGGCTCTCCTTCAGTGGAGGTATTTAAGCAGAGGCCGGGCAGCCACCTGCCAAGAATGCTGGAATTGCTGGTGCCTGTGCTGAACCAAGAAGGCTGGACTAGATGTCTTCTGAGGTTTCTTCTAGCTGTGAAATGCCCAATCTCCTAAGGAGTAGAATGCACCAAAGCTGAGTAGAGGAGCAGCACATCAGCTAAGCCTGGCTCAAAAGGGAGGACTGGCTGCTCTCAAATCCTTGCAGGACCAAGCAATTGTGGTATTTATTCCACAGCTGGTCTGCCAGAACTGCAGAAACCAGAGGCCAAGAACCCCATCAGTTTTGCTCACCTGAGGACTGCTGCTTTTGAGTGCCATTCACCCAGAGCCTCTTGACAACTAGAACTGGCTCAGCTAAGAACCCAGGCAGACCTGTTTCATGGATCATATTGACCAGAACACCACTCTCTCAAGTAACCACCTTTGGCACATATTAGTAGCCAGGCGGGTGGATAGCCCTTGGCCCTTAACATGTAAACAAGAAACCCTTCATTTCCAACTTCAAAGGGAGGGGAGAAATGATGACCTGCAGGGTGCCCAGAACACAGCCAGTGGGGAGATGGGGGACAACAAGGACCAGCTGTGCTGTTGGGAACTGGGTTAACACAAAGCATAAATGAAAAAGACATTCACAAGTGTGGTGCAAAGTACCTCCAAACAAGAAAACACACACGCACACACTCTATATTAGGCAGACTCCAAAGTAAAGACACAAGAGACAAGCTGATGCCTGGCTGAATGGGGCTACGAGTCCACCATTCAAGTGTTTCAATATTGCAGCAACTCTGGTGCCTACATAAAAAAAATAAAATAAAGACAGGCCCATCTTCTCATGGTGGAAGAAAGAAAACCATTCACCTGCCTCCCTTGCGCAGTCCGGCAGTTGGAGCTGGCAACCAGAAGCAACTAACAGACACGAAAAGAGGCTGAGCGAGGCCAACACTACAGTTTCTTCAGCTTGCCCTCCTTCACCAATCTCTCATTGAGCTGACAGAGCTGCTTCAAGAAGCCATCATTGGGGCCAATCTCCCGTTTCTGTCTGACGGTGCTTACAGCAGTCTTGACATCCATGTTCTGCCGGAGCATGAGGTAAGCGATAACCAGAGTTGGTGAGCGGCTGTAGCCTTCACGGCAGTGGACAAACACCCGGCCTGGTTGGCAAAGAAGAAGAAACAACAAGGTACTCAGGATAGGCAATCATTCTTGTGCACAGATGTGTCTACAGTAGATTTGTGATGCCAAGAGGTAGTGAGTGGTAGAAGAAATGCAATTTGGGGAAATGAAGGATTTTGAAGGGAGAAGCAGAAAGGGTGAGGGATGCACAACTCCTCCCACCAGCAGTTTCTCCTTGCCAAATTCCTCCCCTACAGAGTTCCAAACAATTACTACTTCACAAAACACATTTGGAACTTTTTTTTTGGGGGGGGGGGGGTAAAGAAGCAGAAGCAGGCCAATGTGGAGTGGGAAAACAGCCAGCAAAAGAAAAGTAAGCATCACATCTTACTTTTTAAAATTGACTGGTTGGTTGGTTGTTTATTTGGTTGGCTGGTGGGTTCACTGGTTTGCCAGCTTCTAAGCTTCTTGCACCTTTATCACTGCTGTTGTATTGCTTTTGCCTTTTTAGAGCATTATGTATACTGAGAGCCTTTGCAGATGAAAGGTGGTTTGCCCATTTTTAAAGGAGCTAATATAAGGGGAGGGGGGAGCCATGGGGGGGGGACCCTTGTCCCAAGCAGCCCCATCCACTAGCTGCAGCACTCTCTGCTTCTGTGCTTTTGACTTTTCAGATCAGAGGCCATGACTCCCAAATAGGCTCACCCCACTCTTCCAAAGTGTATATGCATGAGTATATTTAAAATTGGAAGTCTGTTGGAAAAGGGCAGCCACTTATTTGTGTCCACAGTCTACTTGGCCTTCTTCGATCAAGAAAAAACAAGTCATCTTTCAGGTGCAGGGTGCAGGAAGATGAAAGGAACTACCTGAACAGAAAGGACAAAGGGAATTATCTGGTCTTCCACCAGAAGTGAAACAAAGAAGGTGTGCAACACATTAACAAGAAGTTACACCACATGTATGAGGGGAGAGTGTACCCCAACACCCCCAAAATGCTTCACATTCTCTGCTGAGCCTTCAACAAGTCAGTTACCTGCCTGGGGCCCTGAAAGACCACAGGGAATCTCCTGGCCTCTCTAAGAGAGACACAGGGAACCCCTGGCCAACAAAGCGGGTGGTAAAGCTTAGATTCCCCCTCTATACTGTCTTGCCAAGAAAACATTCAGGGCCACGTACACAGTTCCCTCACCACCACCCATCTACCCTCACAACATCCCATGAGGTAGGTCAAATTAGACTGAGAAGTAGCAACTGGCCCAAGGACCCTCAGTGAGCTTCATGATTTTCTCAGCTGTAGTTCAACTCTTTAACCCAACCTCACCCAATCTAGTGCCCACCAGTTATTGTTGTGCTACAGCTCCCATCATCCTTAAGCATTGGTCATTCTGGCTTGGGCAGATAGGCTCTTGTGTCCAAAGCTAAGCATCATTCCAAAAAATGAATGACACACTAAGCAAGGTGGTTCCTGTAACCTCCATTCTAAGAGAGGGGAGATCTCCACATACTTTGGACTCCCAGAACTCCTGACTGGAAAAATCCCTGCCTGAATCGCTTGGGCACTGCTGCCAGTCAGTGTCCAAAATACTAAGCTAGGTGGACCAATGGTATAAGGGCTGCTCCTACCCATCCATCTGTACAGCCTAGACCATGGTAAGACACACACAACAATCAGTAGAGTCTGCAACAGAAGGTGAGGAGCTGGGGAGGGAGGGAAGATTTAATGAGCTAGCAGAACTGCAAAGTCTGGGATGGACATGACCTTGGAAGGCTGTATATTCAGGGTCTCCAGATAATCAGGACACAATAATCCCTGAAAGGGGACCTGGAAGAGAAAGGGGACTTTTGCTGCTTCTCAAGTCTTGCATGTTAGGGATGCTCTTCAACAGCTAAGAAAAATGCTTAATAATTTTCCAAGCTGGCCATTGTCCCCACTCCAAATCTTCTCCAAGCAAGCAGCTGCTTCTTCCATCCACCCACTCTCTGAAGTTCCTAAAGCACTGGGGATGCTATGTCTGAGGGGAAGAAAAAGTGGGGGGGGGGGGGATTACATGCAGGAAAATGTATCAAAGGGGAAAGTGTTAACATCTTTCAGTTATAGCAGGCGGGGACACACATGCGCACGCCCCTTCTTAGAAATGTTCTGTAGTTTATTGATTTGTTTTTAAACAACCATTTAGGGTTGTATTACTAGGGATGTGTAAGGAACTCACATGGGAAGATTAAAATATGGCAGATCAGCATGGCTCAGCCCCCCAGAGTCCACTCTGTCAACCAAGGGCTGTCTCTGATCCAAGCTGAGCCCACACACCACCTTCTGCTTTTAAAACAGGTCACAATATGTGTATTCTTTATTTAAAGGAAGAGAAATCTGTGTAAAATATGGCTACAATTTGAGTAAATACGGTCACAATGTGCATAAATTGCAGCATTATTTTACATCAACTTTCCTGCCTTTAAAAGAAAAAAAAAAGAAAATATTCAAATCATAGCCTACATAGCCTACAAAAGCTGCAGGGGGAAAAACCCAATCTGGCTCTTTTTCGGCTGCTGAGTCAGTAAAGTACCCCAAAGTCAGCTGAGTGAAAAAAAGTCAAATTCTGCAGTGTCACCCATCATTATTTGTGACACATATTTGGATGTTGTGAGTATTATCCTCTCCAGAATACAGCATAGTTCAAACTGAGTTGAATTTAAACTTCTCAAACAATATCAACACACAGCATCTCCCTAGAAAAGAAAATTCATAATTTACACATGCTTTTAAAAATATACATGTTTACATCAAAGTGATCAATTTATAATTCTGCCCTAGAAAGGAAAATATGATCACTGATTTCACAGTTAACAACAACAGAAATGCCAGCAGTATCCAACACAGTGCCTACTGTGTTAGACTACAACTCCCATCATTTCCAACCAGAATAGGCCATTTTGCTGAAAGCCTTCTGGAAGCACGGTAGTAAACCTATGTTGATGAATGCATAATGTGCAGGTTGGTGGGATTATAATGTAAATAAATGCTCCTTGGATATGTAAAGTCATATAAGTACACAGGACTGGCTAGCAAAATGCATATGCTAGCAGTTGCAACCATGGCTAATGTAATAAACTAGATTATACTCTGTATAATGGCAGTCAAAACTCAAAAAGTGTATCTTCTGGATTAAAAATAAATGGTCACAATTTTCCACCAGGAGAACACACATTCTGCCTTTAAGAAGTTGAATCTGCTGGTGCTGAAAACATGTGTAGCTCTTTACTTCAAAGCAAATTATCTTTTGCACAACATACACACTTCTACTACTCTTGCTTTCTGGCTGGGGTAGAAAGCACAATCCAAAGTGGCAAAAATCCTACTCATGACTGCTGACGATCTTGTTTAGCCCCTCATTCACTCCCCCTACCCACAAGAGTATCTGAACATTCATCAAGATTCACATGCATACCTTTGAGTCTAATTATTAACCATATTTTATCATCATCATCTTTAAGAACAGGAGCCAAGATTCCCAGGACAAAAAAATTTGTTTGTTTCCAAAGCCAAACTCATTTGCACAGCATAACAGTTAGAAACATTTATGCTGCACATAACTTATTCACATAACTGTTATCCATAAGCAGGTGTTTGTACAATGACGGATTTGGGCATGTTTCTCCATATCTTCATTGTGGATTTGAAAACTAGCTGCTTCATCTTCCAACATAACAAAAGTTGTCTCAATTAAATGTAAAAGTTTTGTGTTGCGAGCTGCATCCCCCAAGGTAAAAACAAAAAACAGCAAGGGGCAGAAGCTAAGTCCAAGAGCAAGAAAGTCTGACCCTGATCCCATCACATCCATCACTGAAAAAAGGTCATCTCTCATGCAACTAAATAAGCCAGCCAATGCATTCACAGCGTGGAGATGCTGATTATATGAGTTACGCCACGTGCCTTACCATCTTTGTGGGCTAAGGCTTTCTCAATGAAGTCAGCAGCTTCCTCAAAGTAGCGGCTAAGGTTGAACTCCTGCGTGTCATTGGCCTTGATGCCATGATAAGTGATGCCTGTCCCTTCATAGAACTCTGCATTGGTGTTCACATGCATAAAGGACTTGCCTTCCGCTGCATTCAAAACATGGGTAATCCCCAGGCGTTGCAACCGCATGACATTTTTGGCTATGAACCTACAAAGAGAAAAATTAAGTCAAGAAGGAATGAACTGCCCAATTTTCAGGGAAACCTAGGAAATGGTAATTCAACACTGCATATATGGGCTTTGGAATCTGGAGAGGAAGTGGGACCTGCAACAATATGTCGCAGTCTGCAGTTCTGCAGGTACCATTCCATTTCCCATTCCCAGTTTTTTATTGCAGGTCCACCAACAGCTTCTTGCCTGATGGCCCACCAAGACTTGCAGCTGACAATGGCCAGCAATGACATCCAAGTGACAAACCACAGCCTTCCTGTGCATGCAAGCATCCTGATTTGTACAATGCAAAATTTTGTGGTCAGAGCAATTTCAGTTTCAGTTTGACTACATCCCTTCCTACATGATTTATGTTGTATTATGAGCCTGTATTCAGGCTCAATAACCAGATTTAAAAAGCAATTCATATTGGCACTTTACACTGTCACCAAGGCTGGACATCAGTGGCTGTTGTGGAATGAGACCTTTTTGTAAGCCATGTTCCATCTTTCCTTCTGGAGGCCCATCAGCGGTTCTGCTCCTACCAGACTGTATTTGTAAAGAGATGTTCAAGTGAGCATGGGGCGCCACCCCTAACAATAGGCAGAGCAGGGTAGGTAACTCGGAGCCTCTAATGGCGGCTTCCTGAACTTGTTGGCTACTCTCCTGGCTAGAAAACAGAGCTGTGTGGGCCACATAACGTTTCCTCCCGCCGCCCCCGTAGCCTGCTGCCTGAGCTGCGGCAGATGTTGCTATTCCATTGGCAAGACAGAAGTATGTTTCAAATGCCAATCCAGTTGGCTTCTGAATAGAAAGAGAAGGGAGTGCCATCTTTCCTTTTACTTCAGGCAGCAAAATGTCTTGGGCTAGCTGTAGATGAAAGAATAGTTTTATAGCACTGTGGAGAGATGCTGTTCAGAATCTGGCCGATCACACCATCTGCGTACAAGTATCCCCACCCCAGGCAACTGCAGCTAGTGCTCGCCACTCATTCCTTTCCTCTCTCTTCCTCTCACACACACCAGTTCCGTGTAGTTTGCTTTCATTTCCCTCTGCATTTGGAACCATCTGCTTCACAGACACCATGCTGCAAGGTGACATGGCGTTGCATACTAGAAGCAGTGAAGGGGGTCTGAGAAGATAAAAGAGGCAGCCTGCCTGGATCCTAGGGCTGCACCAGATAGCCTTTTGATCACTTCATCCTCTAGGACAAAACAGAGGTAGGCAAGAGATTGATCAGGTCCTGCTGGTAGATCTCTGGGTGATTATCAGTAGGTCGGCAAAGAGCTCTGATTCCTAAGAGAAACAACAAAAAGGCTTCCCACCCTGCCTCACTTCTAAATTAAGCGGCTGAGATGGAAGAAAGCTTGTGGTGAGTGAAGGGGAGAATTTGGAGTAGATTTTGAGTTAACAGGACTGTGAGTACAGTTCTGGTACTGCATGCAAATTCCTGGGCTAAGCATATGTTCAGAGACACCCTGTTCTTTAATTCTGTGTTGCCCGTGTCCCACCATTCTGTATGAGGCTCTGGTTGGTAGGCTTAGACGAAATCTAACAAAAAATATAATTCACAAAACTGAAATCTGCCCAGCTGTGTTCTAGGACCTTTCCCTTTGCTGCGAATTTACCAAATCCCTTGCCTGCAACTTCCCACAGCAATGTCAGGGGACAAAGTGTCAGTGGTACAGCACAGAGCAAATCTTGGAACACAGCACCAGTCACTATTAAAAAACAACAACGCACAAAGCCATAATGATTACATAGCACATCAAATGTCAAGTCTTCTTGCACTTGAAATTGCTGTATTGACAAGAGCTATTTGCTGTCAAAGTGATGAGACAGCCTTTTTGGTCAGGAGTAACTTGCATATCTGAGAGAAGGGGGAAAATAGAACAAGGTGATACTCAGAACAGTCTTGCAGAAATGCACAGTTCTAATCTATTTTCTTTTTTATTTATGGTGCTTTGGTGTTGCCCTATAAAGGGTTCTCTGAATGACATATATCAATTTGGGGAAAAGTACAAAACAAAATAATATTGAAAAATACAATTATAGTATAACACACACCACAGATGAAACATTGCAAACTTTAAAATACAGCCTCTCTTTAAAAACTGGAATTGGGGAGGGGGATTAAGGCATTTATTTGGTCCCTAAAAAATACACAGAAGGCACTAGTTGAGTGTGGAGGGTGTTCCACAACCGGGGTGCCAGCACTAAGACTACCTGCTCGCTCCTTCAACATGAATTATTCCCTACCAAGGCACAAAGAATTTAGGATTGCAATTTGATAGATGCTTTGATAGATTTTAAATATTTAATACCCTGCTTGTCAGTTTGATAACCTCCTGAGTGCTCATAACCAATCTAAGACAAAAATAAAAACACTACCCAAAAAAAAAGCATTAAGGCAGTAGGCTATCACTGTAATATTGGTTGTCTAACTGCACATTTGTGTGTCTGCTCAATTGTCTCTGCTGAAGTCAATGAAACTTGTGTCCAAGTAAAACTGTGCATAGAATAATGGCTTAAAATGCAATTAACAGAGGACTCCATACCTGGGGACATATGAACATCGAACATGGTGGGTTTTCCTTTTCCACAGCAAAGTGAACACAAAGTCAAGGTATAAATGTAATAGCAACAATAATAGGATTGCATTGTATATAAGGCCTGGGTAGATAAAAGTTCTTTACCTGATGCTGAAAACACTATTATTATGTTGCTGTTATTTTCCAATACTGCCGAATAGCTAGTTATTTGTGCAATTCACAACAACCCAATAACCAATTCAGTGTTTGGCAAGCCGCTCTGGGGCAGCATTTCACAGATGGGGTGCCACTACTAAGAAGGCCCTTTATTTAGCTGCTTTGACCTCCGAAGGACAGGTTACAAGACCTTTCCATAAGGGAAAGTCCATTGGGAAGCAGGCTGTCCTTTAACGATCCAAATTGTATTTTCCATCTGCTCAGTACTCCTTTTTGCATAGGCACAGGATTCTCTGCAGATAGAGCAATGGCAGTCAATCATGGCTAGGCAATTCAGAAATTGTCACCAAACCATAGTTAAGCTGCCTCAAGTTCCAGCAAGACCTCTGAACAGAACCACTGCCCTTCCCAATCTAGTGCTCTGTAGAGGTTTCAGAATATAATTCTCAGAATTTCTAACAGTTAGCCATGCTCACAGAAACTGAAATCCAAGGTATAGGTCGGGGAAAGCTTCCATAAGGGTGTATCACACTGTTAAGTGGAGACATCAGGACAACTAAGAGTTCAAGAGGAATGAAAGAAGAGACAGATCTTCCCTGCCTACATCTCCAAGGAAAGTTATGGACTCTCATCTGCTCTAAATATGGAACTCGCTCCAGCAAGCCTTATAATGTTACTCCTTCCCTGAGATGAATGCTATCCTCTGTGGAATATTACACTATCTGAGAGACAGGCTGTCACCAGCAAGGAGAAATCTCAGCAACCTCTTTGGTAAGATGAAGTCTGTAGGCAGAAGATTTGCCTCAGAGTACACATTAACAAGTTCACTCCTTCAGAGGAATGAACCTTCTTATTCATTTAAAATTATGTTTAGGCAAACTTTTTATGGGTGCACCCTCCCAAGGAGGCATACAGAATAAAAACACATATACATGCCAAAAAACAAACAGAAAAGCAATAAATATATATTCAATATAAAATACATTAATTATTGAATCAACAAGAAGGAGAGAATTAGGGGAGCTGCCATTCTGGGCATGGATGGTGGAAGCTGCAATTCATCCAGCTCAGGGAGGGGTGTGCTAGAAACATGGAAACAGAGGGAGCCAGAAGGGACCTCACGGGCCATCTAGTCTGACCCCCGGCTCCAGCCGGCTCTGCTCATGACATGCCTACCATCTGCATGTGCAGCCTATCCTTAAACACCCTTACCAGTGCGGCTTCTGTGAATTCCCCTCAAATTAAATACCAGTTTCAAAGAGATTTTCTTTAGGACTACAACTGGGGAGGAAAGGTTTAAATTCTGCCATGACACCTATTCCATATTCCCTTCCTTGTCAGAAGAGGCTTTTTGCATTTTGTACCATCTGAAGTGTAAAGGCAGAGAGCCACTTAACCCCCAGGTCTTTTCTGGCCCTCGAGAGACTGCATCGCCATAATAAACCCTGGATTGGGGGCATTTTGGCCTGTCACTGCCACTTACTAAAATATTTCGCCTGTCTTCTGAATTCAGCTTACTGGATTCAACTAAAAATTTCCCACAGCCCCTTGGGAGCCCTACATGGAAAGACGTTGTCATGGCGATAGTTCTGTGGAAACTCTCACGCATATATCGGCCATAGCTTCTGTGATGTCAGGCAGGATATTTCCTCTGCTTTCTCCTTGTTGTCATTCCCACCTACAGATCGCTATCCAAGCGGAGCTTAAGATGCCTGAAGAGGCTAGCGTCTCCTCTGATATCAGGGAGTGCGGTAATGCCTCCTTAATCTTTTGGGACCAAAGCAATAATGCCTCCTTAATCTTTGGGGAGAGGACGCAGAATTTAAGAATGTGCATCTTACTGTGAAATAGGAGACGGCCAAATGTCTCTCTCTCTTTTCTACTGTGAAAAGCCATTGCTGCCTTCAACAGCTCAGCCACATACCTGGAAGGAAGCAATGCCTATGCAGTGTTATTCCCAGGGGCATTCAGGGGGGAAGAGAAGTCTGCCACCATTTTGGCCAAGAGGGGCCACCATCTTGTCACCTACCCCACCCCAACCCCCCAACAAACAAACTAGCAGTAAGTTAAGATGCAGCATTGGTCCTGGGGCATTTGGTCCTAAAGACGTGACCAGGCTACTAAAAGCAACCAAGATGCTTTTTTATTTTTTATGTTTAATCTTTAAGTGTATATTCATTAGATAAAAGTTATACACAGCCGTATTAGAAGGCTCATTTACTTAACCCCCAGGTTAAGTAAACGTAGCCCAAGACATCCAGAGGGCATCAGGTTCCTTCTCTCTCTTGTA